CATTCCATGAAGAGTTTAAATTTTTAGCAATGACCTGTACTTTAGTTTCAAGACAATGGTTAAAATGTTGTGCAAAGAAGAAAACTGTTATTGAGGTGTGACATGAAAATGAAATGGCAATTGTTACAATATAAAAGAAAAGAACATGATCGCATTTGGTTTAATGAACAAGTCTTGATTTTTCTTATGATATTATAGAAGAAACAAGAGCTGAATATGAAATTGCAGCAAAAGAGTTTTTTCTTAGTATTACTGTTGATACTGTTGATGAGAGTAAGATGAATGGAGAGGGAGCAAGGTTTATTAGTAAAATGGATCAATTAACAAATCTTAATATTGGTCATAATAGGATTGGTGTGGAAGGTGCTCAATATATAGGGGATTGAAGCAATTGACATGCCTTGATATTAGATCAAATGAAATTGGTATTGAAGGAGCAAAATTTATTAGTCAACTGAAACAATTAACAATACTTAATCTAAGCAAAAATGACATCAAAGACGAAGGAACCAAATATATTTGTGATTTACATCAATTAACCAAACTTAATATTAGTGTGACAATAACATTGGAAATGTTGGTGCCAAATGTATTTCATATATTTAAAATGTTCCAATAAATAAATTACTCTTTATTATGTTAAATTCTATTCGAAGAATGTGGAGTTGATCTAGTTTTAAATTATTTTTTATTAAACAATTTGTGCAGCTGTTTTTGGATGTAAATTTGCTTGATTTGGATCAACAGTTTCTAATTCTTCACCATGATAAACATATTTAACATTTGAAACATCAATTGGTGGAATATATTTATCAAATCCATTTCTATAATCATTAATAGATTTTTCACCATTTTTAGTAATATAATTTGGATGTCTAAATCTAGGACAACAAAAATATTTTTGTACAAAATTAGTACCAGTTGTAAAGAAATGAATAATTAAATAAATAATATAAAGTAAAAATGCAGAAAAGAAACAAATATGATAAGGAGTAATAATAGAAAGTACAGGTTGACTAGTATTTGATGGATCATAATTTAAACTTATTGTAAAGTAAATTCTTGTAATTGACATTAAAATATATCTTAATAAAAATGCAATTGATAAAAAATTGAGTGCTGTAGGTGATAACAAGTCAACTTCTTTACCTTCAGCTCTATAAATTTTTAAAATATTAAATTTATCAACAAAATAACATGCCATTAATCCACCTGTTATTATAAATAATGATACTGGAAATAATCCACTAAATACAATACCAATAAACATATTTTTTAATTGATATGAATATCTATCTATATATTTATATTTATATTAAAATTAAATTAAAAAATAAATTAAAAAATATTAAAATATTAAAATATTAAAATGATAAAATTTAAATAAAAAACATACATTCATAAGAATAAACAGGTGGTTCATGTGCCTTATTTAAATCTTCTTGTGTAACACTTGTTGCAATTCTATATCTTTTTAAAAAATAATGATAAATTCCTAATAAGGCATCCTTAATAGTATTTGATGCAACACTTGTACATGTTACAAAAAATAATGAACTGTACCATGCTGAACTTTCAACTAGAATTGGAATATTAGCATTACCAATTGTAAATGCTCCTTTTGGTATAATAACACTATTATCTGTCATTTCAGAATAATAACTGCCAACTGTCGGTGATGTTAAATATACAAATAAATAGGCTATTGTTGTTAAGAAGGAACCAAATGTTACTTTCATCATTAAACTTTGTTTAGCATTTAATTGAAAACGATGTTTTTCAAAATTAGATAATACTATTAATATTGTAATATATTATTATTTAATATTATTGTAAAGTATTTAATATTAAATATTAAATAATATTTAAATAAAACTTACAATATAAAATATAGGTCATTACTTGTACAAGAATAAAAACCAAAACTGACAATCCGAGACTCGCAAAAATTTGCCAATTTTGGAAGGAAGGATTTTCAATCCAATCAGAAATGGAAATACTTGAAAATTTGTCCTTTTTCAAAACTTCTAAAACAACAGCTACTGCAACCACTGCACCTGAAAATAGTACTGTTGCTAAAAATGATACTGAACGTCTACTATATTTGGAAATTACAGAATATTCTCTAAAAAATATTTAAAATATATAAAAATAAATATAAAATAAATATTTAAAATTAAATTAAAAATAACATACAAATTTTCCCAAATAATATCATGAGGTTCATGTGCAGGTTCAACTCTAATTCTATGTTTCTTTTTAGAATAAGTACCAGATTTAGAACAAATTCTCTGAATCATTGGTCTATTAAATGTATGAAGACATTTAAATCTAGACTTTTCATTTTCAAATGCTGAATTCATTACCATTTTAATAATAATAAAATAAATATTAAAATAAATATAAAAATATAAAATTATAAAATATAAAAATATAAAAATATTAAAAATATTAAATATATAAATATATAAAGATATATATAAATAACATACTAATAAAAGCATCACCTGTACATCTATAAGCTTTCTTTCTCATACTTTTAGCAATATCTTTTTGAATAAAATTTAAATAAATTGAAAAGTAAATTCTCTTAATTTTTTCAATTAAAACAAAACAACCACCTCTACTAATTACAATATCACATTTTTCAATTTCCTTAATTAGTTCATCTTTCTTTTTAATAGATTTACTTATATCACCACAATCTAAGGCTAGTGCAATATTATCTAATTTACCAAATTTACTAAAATGTTTATATAATCGTTTTTTACCATGTGCTGCTTCTGTTGATGGTAAATCACGAATATGTACTCTAATTATTATTAAATATTATTGTTAAATAGTATATATATGGTAATATTTAAATAATTTAATTATATTTAATAAATTAAAAAATAAATGCTAAAAACTTACGAATAATCAGCTACTGAAATAGTTCTCTTTGCAACTTTATCATTAATTCTATTAGTTATCCAAAAAAGGAAACGTAAATAAACAATAGAAAATAAAGCAATTACAACTTCAAGAGTACCAAATGCAATATTAACACCACCACTTGCATTTAAATCATAGTTAGCCATACTCATTTGAAAAAATGTTGAAGGATTAGTTTTCTTTACAATAAATATTAAATATTATTGTAATATTAAATATATTATTAAATATTATTATTATTAAATATAAACATACTTGTGCATAAAAATACAAATAAGGAGCGTGTAAAGCAGATAAAATTACAAAAAATATAACAATTAATAAACTAATATATAAATATAACATGGATGATCTACCCAATGATGTTAATTTCCAAAATGGTGTACATAGAAATGAATATTTCTTTTTACTTTTAGAATTTGTCTATTATTAAATATTATTAAATATTATTCATGATGTTAAATAGTGTTTGACATTTGATAAT